ACTCTGACCTCAGATAAAGTTGCTCCAATGCTGTGAAAATGTACTCAGAGTGTTGTGACAGGAGTAAGAAAATGTAACAGTCTGAAGGCCAAAACCTACTGGCGGGTTTGAAAGACATAAAATCACCAAAATTACACCATTTATCAGAGCCAGAAACTGTTCAAGCAAAAATAATCATCAGATTTTAACTTCACGATGCTCCTTGAGCTGCTGATCTGTGATGTGCTGTTCCTGTAGGAAACTTTAAATCTTAATTCATCTCTAACAAGATTCTGTTTAAAAAAAAAAATAAAAAAATAAACTAAAAATTAAAAAAAAACCTTTTGGTTGAAACACGTAGAACTGCAGGTCGTGTTTACAGGAAGCCCAAAGGAGACAATTACAGAAATAAAACAAAGATTTTGAATCTCTATAGTATGTAGATTCCCAACATTTTTCCAGCAACACCTGTGGGCTCTTTGAAAGATGCTGTACGTGTTACAGACCAGACTTTTTCATTTTTTGTTACATAAATGAATTCAATTGTATTTCTTCTTTTTTTAAATGATCTATGGCATTATACTTTTCTTATTCTGCACAAAAGACATTTCTGACTTCTCTCTACTTCTAGTCATGGTTGTGCTGTTCCCACAGAGGTGAAGGACTTTATATTTCAATAAAAACTGAGCTCACAGTTTAAAAAAAAAAACCCAGTCAGAAACTGCTTGCGATCCAAAGGGTTCAAGAGGGAAGAAAAGAGCTTGAATGCATAATAAACCCGTTGTCTCCTGTGTGCCCTCAGGTATTCCATATCGTGTTGTCATAATACCCATGAAGAAGCTGAGCATCGCGATGGCAACAGTTAATCCCTGGGTGTGTGTGTCAGGAGAACTGGGTGATTCAGGAGTTAGACAGATCCCAAAGAATACACAAGAAATCTTTTTCCAGGTTTGTATTCACTCTTCTGCGGATACATGAACATCAAACCTGAGGCAGACGCACGTAGAGTTACTCTTACTTGTGCTTTTTTTCCATGTCAGTGCAAGAACCTGGGCAGGCTGAGCACTCTGCAGCTCGGACAGGAGAACTCGGGCCTGCTGGCCAAGTGTCTGATTGACTGTGTGATGGTGTACAACGAGATCACCGGACACACCTACAAGTAAGATCCACCTTCTGACCGTTCTCTCGTCGGTAAACGTAACCTCACAGCACAGCAGAGGCATGTACGAGAAGATACGGTGGCATCTAAATGAGCCTGACAATCAAATACTGGATGTCTAAACTTCCTAAACACTCTGATGAGATGGTAATAACATACAGGAGAGAATAAGTGACTGCATTGTCTAGAGCATGTGTCAGCTTCCTGTACGTTTATGGTAGATAACAAATCACTCAAAAGCCAAATCTACAGTTTTGTTTTAGTAAACAGGCTGCCTTTTGAATGATTAGTCATCATTTGTTTTTTAAATCTTGGACACGTACGCTCCTTCTGTCTTTTCAGGTTTCCGTGCGGCCGATGGCTGGGGAAAGGCGTGGGCGACGGCAGCTTGGAAAGAGTCCTCATTGGTCAGCTGGTGTCACCTGGTGCGGAGGAGGATGCTGGAAGGTGGACAGGGACGCCTCCGGAGCTGGCCTCTCCTTCTCAGAGTGTTCGGACGGTGCTGGGATCGCTTGGCAGCCGGAGCAGTACGTACTGACAAAGAGCACATTCTTCAGTACAATAGCTGACCTACTTGTTTGGGCAGCTCATTACAATAACAGATTCTGCTCCTGTATCACCTTTCTGTTGAGCCCCCTGTTCTGTCCCCCTCGTGTTCATCGTCAGCCGTCCTCATGTTTCTATCCGTGACTCTTCTTCATTCATCTTTTCAGGAATGCTGTCAGTGGAAGTGCAGGAGGACATGAGGGAGGCGGCGAATAACCTTGTGAAGCATTTCCACAAACCTGAACAAGAGGTGTGTGGCTGTAATAGCGAGCATGATTCGGCTCCTGCGTTCATTTATCTTGTCGGCTGACAAAGTGTTTAATGCGCAGAAGAGTATCTTTGCAGCGACTGTCAGCCTCCTGCGTGTGTTATTTTTTATCTCCAACATGGTTCATTACCCCGACCGCTCCAGCACGAGCCTCATTTCTTTCTCTTGTGCATCTCATCTCCACAACAACTTAAAAGCTCTGGAGAGACTCTTTTTTTTAGTTTTTTAGTGGGTTTTCAATTCATTTTAATAATATTTACAAGTGCACAGCCTTTAAAGTGCAAGCATATGCTCTGTTCTGTTTATTTCTTTAATAAATAAATAAAAGAGGCTTTTAAAACTGAAACAAACTGATCACTGCTGTGGAGGATTTGGAGAAACGGCAGCTCCTTCTGCCCCACACACGAAGGGATTTACTGATTGTAAGACGAGCCTCCGTTAACTCTGTTTGTGTCGTTTCAGAGGGGAAACCTGACGGTGTTGTTGTGCGGTGAAGGAGGGCTGGTGCTTTCGCTGGAGAAGTTCCTCCTCCATGGCTTCAAGTCCAACCGTCTCTTCCAGAGGAATGTGTTTGTTTGGGACTTTGTGGGTAAGTCCTGATAAAGTGACCTCTGTTTTCCCGACTCCATCTAGTGGCAGTCGGTGTGAATTTAGCTTCTCCAGTTACAGGCCACAAAGCGTGATTGATATGTTTTGCTATCAACCAGTGTTACACCATCCATCTCCGCTGTTTTCTCTTGTCTCGTCGCAGTATTAATAAGTTATAAACTACTAAGTGTCGCCGACTCTCTCCCACAGAGAAGGCTGTCGTTTCCATGGAGACGGCCGATCAGATGGGCGACCTGCACGGATCAACGCTGACCAGAGGTCCGCCCTGCGACTCACTGTGCCACTACGTCAACGCCATCAACGCCTCGCCCCGAAACATCGGAAAGGAGGGCAAATTCCAGCTGTTCGTCTGCCTGGGAATCAGGTGACCGCACATAACTTTTAAAATGACAGTTTAAAGAGATCCAGAGAGTAACCCAAAGTCAGACTTGGGAAAACTCTCCCAAAACACAAGAGAAAACAAGTTTGAACTAGGCTTGAAGAGGACATTTACAAAAAAATAAATCCCCCTCCTCATATTGCTGATGGTGCAAAAGAGCAGCCACAGATAAGAAAGTTATTGAATATGAAAGACATTTAACTCCAGAAATAATTGGACTGACACTAATGTTAGGAATTAAAAATACAGATATATAATCTATATTCAATGTAGAAATAGAGATATAATTTGAAAATATTCCTCTTACTAAAGTTATTATATTTTTCTCACACTGAACTATTTTGCATAAGAAATCAGCCACACATACACAAAAATATCATCCATATTTCTGATTAAGTCATAAAAACTTGACTTGCACCAACTGTTGGTAGAAAAAGAAACGTATAAACAATGGTGGCTACATGTTGTTTGTCGCAAAGTAATTTATAAAGTGATTAAAAACCACTTTTACAATTTTTGTTGGGATATTTTGACACCATCAGTACAAAAATGGTCAATCCGTGCAAAAAATACAGTCAAGAGTCAATAGAGGCAACAGTAAAGCTGTTTAAAACAATTTAAAAACCAATTTTTAAAAAATTAAATACCCCATGTGGACCGTGTATTTATGTGCAGCGCTATCGTGATAAAACAGCGGGTGGTCTGTAACTGCATTTGTTTAGCAGCTTTCAATAATGAAGTTTGAAGCACCAAGCAGACGAAGCACCAAATATATAGAAGAAAAATACAATAAGCATCATGCAAAGGATATAAAGATGGGCAAACCAACATGGAATATAGAAGAACAAAATAAAATAAATACAAACAAACCACTTAAGAGGAACAGCCTTTTGATAAAAGAAGGTTTTCAGTAATGTTTTGATAGAAGACGCTGACCTTGCCAGTCTGTCTTTTCTGTTTTTCATCATTTTTCTCGCCAACAAAGCCGGAACAATTGAGAAATTTACTTGGGCTCTGTCGTGCCTAATTAAAACACCAGCTCTCCTGTTTGTGGTTTGCCCTGACATTGAATGAACTCGACATCATCAAGGTTAATGAAACCCAAAAGCATTTCCGCTCTGTGAGGCCGAAAGTGAAAAACTACACGGTGCTTGTTTGCTTTCAATTCAATACCAAACTTCATCATATATTTATGACACCATTACTGCTGGTGCGTCTCTCTGCAGGGACCGGCTTCTCTCCCAGTGGCTCCCCCTGCTGGCCGAGTGTCCCCTGACCGCCCGGACGTACGAGGACGGCGCTCTGCTGAGGGACCGCGCCGCCGTCCACTCCCTGTCTCGCATCCTGCACACGCTAAACGAGTTCAGCGTCACCCTGGAGACGGCGCTGGTTAAAGGGGTCGACCTCTGACCCTGAGACCGGGCTCTGGTCTGTAACCCACGCTGCTGGGTTGTTCATCTTTCCATCCGGACGGGGGGAAAAAAACGGAGGTACTTTGAGACACTTGACTTTATCATTAAAACCAGCCAGCGGACCGGATGAAGTCACTGGCAACTCAAGCACCAAACATATTGCCTTGTTCACTGATGTAAATGTCTTATACACTGTATTTGCTTCAGGAAATAGTCCTCTGCTTGTTTACACTGTGAAATTCTGTTTCCTCGAAGAGAAAGAGAGTCATCGATAACACTCACATCCACCGTAGATATTTTCCCCGCTCACGTCATTTACTGTACCTGACCCTGGGGGGGGCAACTATAACTGCTCCTCCTACTGCTGTATTGCTTGCACTTGAATTTTAAACTAAGCACATGCATGGCCAGAATCTGTTTGTTTGTTTGTTCTCCGTCTTCTGGTGTTGTGATCTGAGATGTCAGGACTCAGGCCTTATTATTATTATTCTTATGATTATTGTCATTTTTCTTGACTTCATTTATTGAATATCTTAGTAAATATACTCAAGAAAAATAATGCTCCCTCTCTATAATGTTAAAACTGTTCTATTATTATGCTCTTGTTCTACTGTGTGATGTCTGGCCTGTTTCTCATTGTTTATTTCAGTTTGGGGTCACATGCGAGTTGTGCTCATGAAAAAAAAAAACAAAAAAAACTCCTCAGTTGGTGAAACACTGGATCCGAACTGGTGTCCTAGTTGTGTCAGTTCAAATAGTGTTTGTCATTTTGTCAGAAGGCTTTTATCCCCCTCCTCTCTCTCATTGTAAATATTTTTGCTTCGTCAGATCTTTGATAGACTCGATCCATCCCGTTTGAATCGTTTCCCCATCGGTTCTTACAGTGTAATGAATTTGTGGCATACTTTTTTTTCTGTATAAAGGCATCTTGTTTGTGTCCGTGTGCGACCGATAGACTCCACGTTTTCTCATGTGGATACGAGTCATGCTGTTTTGTTTCTAAAAAAAAATCAGACAGTGAATAGAGCACAGGTCGGTAAAAAAAACGCTAGGTATTATGTTGATGTCACGTTTGATTTAACAGCTGAAGAATTATGAAAATGCTGCCTCCTGCACTATCCTGCAAGCACTATGTAACCCACGATGACCAAGCCTCTATTACCGTTTAAATACAGATTAGAGAAAGCAATAATGAACTGTTATTTATGACGTGTGCTGTTGAAGAATAAAGTTAATATTGAAATAAGTCACTTGTCCTGCTGTTGTTTCTTTGTGCCATTTAGAAGCATTTGATGAATGCAAACTTGACCAACCGAAGCAGTGTTTTTGTTCTGCGCTCTCTGAAAAAGAACTGTTGGATCATTATGAGGATGGTGCAAATCATGTAATTCAACTAAATAATACTGAAGGTTTTGTAAAGAGGAGGAATGTAACTGAGTACATTTGCTCAAATACTGTACTGAAGCACAAATCGGCAATACTTTTATTTTACATAAGTCATTTCTATGTACTGCTTCTCTACATATCGGTGAGAAATATTCTACTTTTTACTTCACTACATTTATTACACCTTAAGCTACTAGTTATTTTACAAATTAAAATTCCTGTATATAAAAAAATATGAAGAGCTTATGAATAATTTGCAGTTATAAATTAAGCTACCTTACTTTTTACACAACTGAAATAATTCGTCGATAAATCAGTCAGCTATTTTGATATTTGCTTCGAGCACATGGAAAAGCATTTCTCACTATTTTCAAAATGTTTACAAACCAAACCACCAATGAAAGAAAAAAAAATCAGCAGATTAATTCATAAAGAAAATACTCATCAGTAGCATTAAGACACAAAATAATTCAAATTGAGCTCCATCTCAACCAACTGCAGCAATAAAATCCTGCTTTTAAGAATGATAATAACCTAATACTGTAATGAGGGCATTTTCTGCACTGAACACTGTTACTGCAGTAAAGTGTATTTTTACAGTATTAATACTCAAGTAAAGGATGTGAAAACTCCCTCCAATGCTCATGTGTAGCTTGTAATTTCTATTAAGATTCACGGAGCATGTTTTCAAAGACAAACTGAGGTGTCTCGACACAGATTACGGTTCTTTATAAGGCGTAGGGAGGACGGATTACAGTGACACTTTGATCACCAGTCTGTAATTTAAGGCTCCATGATAACCAGGCAGTAACTCAGGCTGTCGCCCTTTTAGTTTCCTTCAGATTTTGCATGTGAAATATACAACACAGCTACTCGCAGTCTATGCTCCCCTGTAAATACTAAATGATAGATGTGATGATAGAATGATGCAGTAGGATTGTTAGTCCTGGCCAACAAACACTGGGTTTATTCATCTGTCATTCCAATCAGGCCTCAGAGCCCTCCAAAATAATCTGATATCACCGATCAAAAACGCAAGCATGTTTTTTTTTCCTCTGTTTGTCCTTCAAGCGGCAGATTGACTTCATTCCACTTGGCACATTTTGTGTGAGCGTGCAGAAGAGAGCACGCTGGTTACAGAGCGTGTCACTGTTGATATCTGGTGGTAGCCAGTTAAGCAATTCACAAAGGGAAGGTTTGAAAGCTGTGGATATAAAAGGCTTTTTCAAAAAGAAAAGAGGATGAAGGCAACAAGGTGCAGGTGAGAGACGGTGGAGGAAGAGTTATGTCCTGATCTATTAGGCCAAACATGGACTGAGGTTTTGGTGTTTTTTTTGTTTTGCTTTTTTTTCAAGTCACTGTTATTTACTGTATATAGCAAATTTCCCCACTGCAGGTTTAATAAAGGCTGATTTTATTTTATTTTATTCAAATCAACAGGCGCCAAGCCAAGATTGCTGGTACCAATTTATCTAATAAATGTTAATATTCAAGTTAGAACCTTTCTAATTTTACCTCAGTCGTTTAAATATTCTGATAAAACTATAGCAAATTATATAAATTGTACAAACACACCCAACTCAAACATTAAGACATATTTTCTCTCTGATTATTATTAGTTATTTATTTTGGGGCTTTTAGGGTGAAGTTTTTCCTCTAGCACCTGCATCTTTTGGCACATCATTTATAAAAACTGATGTTTCCAAGGCCCACCTTTACATCATAAATAAGACTAATTCTAATTCAATAATAACTCTTCTGCACTTACTGAGACATCCACATGGAACATGGGCCGAGAGCAGAAGACAAGTGGGGCGATCCTCCTCTGCAGAGAACACAGCGTCTCCCACTTTATATTCATTTCACTCTGAAATAACTTGAAAATGGTGCAATTAAGAGGTTAACATCCACAGACTGCTGGGCTGGGCTCAGCCCCCTCTGGGATGATGGCGTGCTGCTGCTGCTGCTGCTGCTGCTGCTGCTGCTGCTACAAGCGCCTGTTCGGCCTAAACTGACCACTGGATGGAGACCAAGTTGAACCCACCTTTTATTTACCACTAATCTGCTCTGTTGTCACGCAATTCAAATCAACAAAGCCCGTGTCCGTGCTAGACGCCGAGCCTCCTAAAAACCGTAGGCCTCCAGACAGGCCATCTGGCGCTCTGTAGTAAAACGACAGGCCCCGCCCCCTTGCTTACATTCTCCAATGTGCCATAGCAACCGGGGCCGAGCCCCCTGTTCCCGCGCAATGTTCCCATCCTTATAAGGCCAGTAGCATGCAGACGCACGGCCACGTCAGACGTCGTTTATGTAAATAGTTTGATTGAAGAAAAAGAAAAACGCCTTCTGCTCTACTCTGAAATGGAGGTGTGGATACGACGCATGCGCACTGGCTCCACAACTATCCAGTCCCGTCCACAGGCGCAGACATCAACAAGAGAAGCGGGTTACTGATGCGGGTTGATTTTCATAATAGTCACATCGTAACGACGCGCTGCGGGGACTTATCACTTTATATCAGCTTCACGCAACTTGCAACCAAGGTAAGGAAGTGCGCGTTGGCGGCGCCGCGCGTCCGAGGCGGTTTGGAGAGTGTTTGGCTGCTCTGTCGGATGTGTAATTCAAAACAAGCTCCGAGTTGTCTCAGAACAATCGCTGTGTTTTAGGCCCTGCTGCAGGACGGGCTGCTCCATGTGCGGCTCGCCTTCTTTTTTAAAACAGTTCAAGTAGCCGCGGAAAGTGGGGGGAGGAAGGCTGAGGCGCGTTTAAATGGTGTCAGGAGGCGCTTCGCATGCAGACGCGAGGAGCGGCTGGACGGCTGTTGTTGTTGTTGGTGGCTCGGTGGCTTGTTTCTGGCTGGAGGGGGAGGAAAAGCAGCCGCCGATTGAACTCAAGTGTTGCGCGTAAAACACAGCTTAGGTGTGCAACAACGCGGCTGCAGCGGCGTGTGCAGCCCGCAGTGTGCTCCACATTTTGCTAAATAAGCCAAGTTGGATGTCTCACGCCCACCCCGAGCAGGGATGCGTCTCAACACGCGGGCTGCTGCTGCTGTCAACAAAAACAGCCGCCGCGCACACACAAAACTACCCGTGAACGCCTCACGAGGCTCAAACCGGCTAAAAAATTAAGAACTTAAAAAGCGGTTCGGTTGTAGAAAGTGTGCACTTTTCAGTCGCTTTGAACTTCGCGCACATGTAGTTGGATGTTGCAGTGACACGGCTCTGGAATAACAAAGAGTAAAGATCAAATTACACCGTCGGCTTGTCGTCGCTGCTGCGCTCCGGATATTATTATTATTTTTTTGCTTTGGAAATACGTTAAGCTCGGTTTTTGTGAAGTTGTGGAGGAGGAAGAGGAGGAGGAGGAGGAGGAGGAGGGGGAAAGTCGGGCATCGTCGTGCAGAGGACGGTCATCATAAAATGGGTGCGCATGAAGCAGGTCGTGTGGCATGCCATGCTTCCTCGCTGGAAGTGGGCGGTGAATTTGGCGACTTGCACTTTTCTCTCGATAAAAACAAGTGCATTTCTCCGTGTCTTCTTCTATTCTAGCAAGCTGGAGCGTTATTAACGAGAGTCCCGCAGCTTTCTTTGGGATTTTTACAGTTTAACTTTAATATTCCAGCTTTTTTTTTTTTTTTTTTTTGCGGAAAATCGCATCACACCCCCTTCTCCACATTGCCTCCGCCTTTGAAGTGTGTTGCCATGTTGAGTTGCGTCACGTACTGTATTCTGCTGCAGAGATCGTCTGCGCCTCAGAGATGAGACACGCGAAGGTGGAAATGTGGACAAATAAGAAATGCAGTTTGCAAATCGCCAAGGCTGCAGTTTTAGGATTTATAATAAGAGCAAGGGTTTATTTTTTCCCCACCTGATTGCATAATATTTAATACTTAGATTCTGCTCCTGTGCCACAAATGACCTGCAGGTTCCAATGTCACAGGTTGTTTACGGAAAGATCCCATTTAATAATTAATCAGATCTTATCCTATCCTTATTAAACACATTATATATATTATTATTTATTAGTTAGCACAAAATCTGACAGCTTTTGTCACAACTTATTTATTTATTATCAGGATCGTTGTACAATAAAGTCTGTTTTACTTTATTTAACAGAAATCTATTTGTTATTTTTGACCATTTCTGAGGTGAAATTGTCTTTTAAACTCGAGAGAAAGTGTTTAAAAAAATGCAATTTCTATTTTTATTTTCAATTTTTGTCATGTTGGCAAATCTATGACAGTCACACCTTTTGTGATGGTTGAAAAAAATACACATTTGAGTCCCTTTAAATCCTAAATTTCTCATCCTTGTGTTAGATTATACAACAGTTATCATTTGGATGGTCTCTCGTCCACAAACAAACCTCTTACACAAGAAATATTCAATGAAGCTTTAATAAATGATATCACACATTGCTCCGTCGAATGTTCGGCTCTACTCCAGCGCACCAAGCTGATCTGAGGTGTTTTTTTTTTTTTTTTTAATTTACAAACCATACCTACAAAATGAGCCTGAATTAGTTGCCATGTACATGATCATTCCCCCATCTATCATTTCAGATTTCATTATTTCCCTCATATGCTCCAGTAGACGTTGGTTGCGTGACCCCTCAGTAACGGCCTGTAAACATGCTGCTGTCTTAGTTTGGGCTCTGGCATAAAACAGATTTACAGAGATTTGCAATCTCGGTGCTGATTAAAGAGAATTATAAGTTCGACCTCTGTATAATCACGGGACGGCTGTTTATGTGCAAGTTTCTGCAAATGAAACTGTGCAATGGTGGCTTTTAGGTCAGTTTTGCACTTTGAAATATGACTTGAATGCATTCTGACGTGTGATGCATTGTGTTACTGGCATGATTGAATTCATAATTTTGCTGTATTTTTTAAAACACATGTTAAAGCTGCACACAGATTAGAGCTGCAACAGTTGATTTCATTATTATTTAATTCACTAATTAATCCGTTTGAGTTGTTTTTAAGTGTGATTCCAGCTTCCTTCTTTACTTCTCTCTGATTTTAAAGTGAATATTTTGGGGGGTTGTGGACAAAACGGTGCATTCAAGGACACCATCTGTGGCTTTGAGAAACACTGAGAGACATTTATCACCATTTTCTGATCAATCATTTGAGAAAATAATCATTTAATCGTAATAAATTGAGTAGCTGATTGCAATTCCATGTTTATAATATCTACACATTTGCATTTTTTACATTTCTTGCTGCTGAAAATCATCCCCAGTGTGATTTTTATTTATTTTTTTCCATCTCATCCATCATGCTGTCTGCTGCTCGTGTCATCTGTCACACTTAACTCGGGTATCTTCAGACATCAGGAGAGGAAATATCTTGATTTCCTTCCACGATGCCCAGCTGTGCGCGGTGCGTGATATGCGCAGCGGAGTGAGAGCTCTTTGGTTTGCGCTGCTCTCTGTCTGCTCTCTGTGGCACCGCACTGTCAGAAGACCCCGAGGACTGATGGCAAGAAAAAAAAAAAAAAAACCCAGTCTGGGGGGCGCGGCTCGCAGTTTTGCCGCAGTTCAGGTCTACATGTGCTGTGCAGATTACATTTTTGCCTAGCAACATAAATCATAATTCCTCTGCGTAATCGGTGCGCTTATTGCATTTTTCCCCCCCTCCGGTTATTTCCCCCTCTTCCCCCAGACACGTTTGATATTTTTTTTGGCATCTCTCCGGCATTATTTAGTAGTTCGTCTTCAGCCATCACCAATAATGCATCCCGGAGGCTCGGACTAAGTGCGTGCTTACATTAGATGTTGAGTTTCCAAAACGAAGCGTGAATCCTGTGCGCGCAGCATGGTGACATTATCTGTCTGACACGCTGTCTGACTGTTGACCTACTTCCCCCCCATGTGGGTCAGAGCGCAGAGATGCTCCCTCAAAAACCCGCTTTCAGTGAATGTTGTTGGTAAGAAATCATGTTTTTATTAATTTTAAAAAGGCTCAAGTGATTTTTTGGGGGTTTTAAGAGCCAAACGTGACCTCTGATCCAAACCAGAGGCTGCAGGGAGGTGCTGCAGTCAACACATGATGAGAGTCTGAGGTGTTTAAATCCCCCCCTTTATTTTTTTCCTCTCTCCTCTTTCTCTTTGCTCAGATGTTTGGCTTTCACAAGCCGAAGATGTACAGGAGTTTGGACGGCTGCTGCATCTGCCGCGCAAAGTCATCCAGCTCCCGTTTCACCGACAGCAAGCGCTACGAGAAAGACTTCAGGAGCTGTTTCGGGTAAGAGACACACCTGAACACGTGGTGGTTTGCGGAGGAGAGGCTGTGGTGTGTAGGACACACGCACCTCATTGATCTGACAGCTTCCCTCCTCCTTCGCTCTTGTCACTCCATCACGAACTGCGTTTGTCTCGCAGGTTGAGTGAAACGCGATCCGGAGACATCTGTAACGCCTGCGTGCTCCTGGTGAAGCGATGGAAAAAGCTTCCTGTGGGAACCAAGAAGAACTGGAATCATGTGAGTTTGGATCACAGTGCTGACTGACATTGTGGTCCTGCTGCTACTGGGTTATGATAATAAATAAATAAATAAATAAATAAATACATACATACATACATACATACATACATACATACATACATAAAATACCTGAATTCTATCTCTTGTTTCCAGGTTGTTGATGCCAGAGGAGGTCCCAGCCTAAAGATCACTTCCAGGCCCAAGAAGATCAAGTCCATCTCCAAGAAAGCGCGGCCGAGTCAGATCAGCAGGCTGCAGAAGGAGCTTAAGAGAAACAGTTAGTTCTGCATTTTGGCATCACAGAAATAGTGTTAGAGAAGAATCGGAATCAGTTTTATTCCCTCGCATACAAGGAATTAGACTACGGTGAACGCTGACGAGGAGAGAATTTTAAAAGAAGGAGTCAAACAAACAGCAAGCGTTGCAGATTCAGGGAATTTGAAATGATTTTAAAAAAGTAATAGAGATATTTATGATGTATTTATTTGCATCTTGTCTGTGATTGATTACGCTGACATGTTTGAGATGCAGCTTCATTACAAAGTCCCTCCCTCACCACTGCATTCTTGGACATCACCGCTACACTTTCATTCATAAAGCAATACTGGGTAAACTTCCAGCCTACCTTTGCAACCTTCTCTGTGTCAGCTCTGTTAGTTACCAGCTACGCTCCTCCAACATATCCCAGGTTTTAACTGCATTTTCCTCCTACGCCCCATGGGTTTGGAATAATCTGCAGAAAGATCGTAGATTACAAACACTCACATCAATTAATCAATTCCAGGGCACTGATGAAGAAAGTCATTCTCTCTTGTTTTGATGGTCTCCACACCCTTTGATCCCATCACCTTTTGTTCATTGTTCTCTTTCCTGCCCCCATTAATTAGCAACTGTATGCTAATTAACCACTAGTCACTGTTTACCAGCAGGCCCCTCCCTCCCTTCTGACTTTAGCCTATAAAAGGTGGAACGCTGCAAATGTTCTGAGTCGGTTTACCATCACATGCTCTGTGCTGGTGAGCCCAACATAGACCGGAATACTAATAAAGACCCACGACAGCAGACTTCACATCAGGACTATGGGTAGAATTTCTTCAACAGCTTCATAAAGAGTGTGGTGACGGAGACGTGATTGTTTTTCTTCAGAGGTCCACCGTGTTTTAACAGTTGTTCTGTTGTGATTGGCTGCTACCTTGGACAGGTGTCTGTTGCAAAAGAGATTTTGAATCTCAATGGGACTTCCTGGTTAAATAAAAAAATAAAAAATGACTGCAAATGTACACAGCATATGTTGTAAACAATGTTAGCTGCGCGTTAATGGTTCAGTTGACTCACTTCTTTCATTGTTAGAGAGCAGATTGGCTGTTTGATGCAACACACCGGTGAGTTTTTCGTGCTTTGTTCTGCCCACCAGATTCAGACGCCCACAGCACCACCTCCAGTGCCTCTCCGGCTCAGTCTCCCAGCTACAGCAACCTGTCAGACGACGGGTCCGACACCGAGCTCAGCCCAGGATCCAGCCGCTCCCCTGTTTTCTCATTTCTGGACCTCACTTACTGGAAGAGGTGAGTCGCACAGTGAAGCAGAATCATTATTCTCAATTTGGAATGGCTAGTTTTCGATGCTACGTACATAAAACGGCATCATGTGAAAAACTAGTGATGCACGATATTAACATTTCTGGCCGATACCGATACTCGATATTAAAATTTCTGATTTCGCCGATATTACCGATGTCGATATTCGATTTTTCTTCACACCGAAAAATGAGTGTAAGTAAGCTGTGAGAATGTGAAAACTATTCTAAAGAAGCCCAATTAGACCACATTGTCTTCTTTATTACGTAAAAAAAGTAAAACATATTTAGACATATTTAATGCTCAAGTCCAGGACCATTTAAGTAAAAACATAAGTAAATAAAATAGCAGCAGCATCAAATGTAGAGATGAAGCTGCTCATGTTAGACGATCATCAGTTTTTCTAAATTTGTTCATCAGACCGATACCGATATATGGGAAAAAACGCTAATATCGGCCGATACCGATGTGGTCGCTGATATGTCATGCATCCCTATGAAAAACCAAAGAGCTTTCACTAAATGTTAACAGTCCGCCCCTGCACTCAGGTGTTTTGCCTGATTAGAGCTCTGTAGAGTTTCAACATCCTCGATTCCTTTCCTCGACTCCTCTCCTTGTCTCCTCCCACCACGGACGCAAGCAGAGGAGGCGAGGACGAGACAGAAGGAGAGAGGAGTCAAGGCCAAATAAGAACTCTTTGCCTCGGAGCTGCTGTTTCAAAGTGACGCCAATTAAACATGACACGTGGCACAGCTGCATGTTGTGTCCGCTGTTTATTTTATGATCACTGTCAGGCTGGCAGAACAGAGGAAGGAAAAATCAAAGCGCTCTCCCTTATATCTGATACCGCAGAAAAAAACGCAGATTTCTCTACTGATACCGATATGGATATATAAGTATATATTTACTTAAAATTCAGCTCACAATGTGGTATTAATGAGACAAGAGTGCTTGAACATCCTAATCAGGGCAGTTAGAAACACTCATGTGGGCGTGAAACGGCTTTAATTTCATACAAGCCTGATGTCTGTGAAGATTCTCAGTCATCCAGGTCGTGGTTTCACCTCCCCCCTGGTGTGAGCACAAACCCCCAACTGAAGCCGAAACTCAGGTGTTAACGGCTCCTTAAGGATAGAAGTATGTGGAACTCCCAACTAGTCAGTCAGAACTGATGAAGCCTCTTGGGTGAGAGGTGGAACGTCTTCAAGGAACTCAAGCAGTTAATCTACGAGAATACAATCTGATGTCTGTCACGCCAGCTGAATAAAGTTGGAGGTGTAGTTACATGAATTTTTCCCTTGACATTCTCTATTCTAGTTGATGATGGAATATTTAACAGAATTTGCCTTAAAAATAAAGATTAAATAGAATCTGACAGCTGCATCTCTACCTACAAGATCTAATCCTACTGAATGTAAAAGTTTTTTTTCTGCACGCTTTGGCCAATAACTACAAATTGCATTCACCTGTTGTTGGATGTTTAGTTTAATAGACCTTCTTTTCTAGTTTCTGAGTCCACTTCCTTGCCTCCAGACAGCCGGTGGTTTGTGTTCATTATCATGAAAACAGCTTGAGGGGACTTGAAATCCTTCACAGCAAAACTAGTTACACAATCAAAGATAATGCATTTAATACCTGAAATGTGGAACTTTTAAATACATTTTAAAACTTTCACACTGACCTTCAGTCTTCGTCAGAGGAAATCATTTCACAGCAGACATTCTGGCTCGTCATAGCAGGAAAACCATAGATGAGGCACATTTTTCTTCACAGTGACCCAACTCAATGAAGCGCCCTCGAACTAATCAAAGAAACTCAACTTTAGTTTCTCTTTTTATCTGATTTCTGTCGTTTTAACTGTGTCATACAGCACAGAAGACGCTTCTGTCTCCTTCCAGCCATGGTTGTTTAGGGCAGTGAGCAGGACTTTAAGACTAAATGGAACACAGTCATTTATTTGTGCTGTGACAATCCAAAATGACAGCTTTAAAAAAGGCCCATTGCTGTGCATTTTATTTAAATGCTCTAAATGGGGGGCTGCATGGTGGGGCGGTGGTTAGCATTGTTGCCTCGCAGCAAGAAGGTGAGGACACCCGGGATCTTTCTGTGTGGAGTCTCCATGTTCTCCCCGTGCAGCGTGGGTTCTCTCCAGGTTCTCCGGCTCCTCCCACAGTCCAAAAACATGTTGAGGTTAATTGGTGATTCTAAATTGTCTGTAGGTGTGAATGTGAGTGTGCTTGGTTGTCTGTCTCTAAGTGTAGCCCTGTGATAGACTGGTGACCTGTCCAGGTGAACCTGCCTTCACCCTGAGTCAGCTGGGATAGACTCCAGCCCCCCATGACCCTAATGAGGATTAAGCAGTGTATAGATGATGGATGGATGCTCTAAATGGCATAAAGCATGTAAAACACACAGATTTTTAATAGTTTTCGTCTTGTTTCAAACTCTTAAATACGACGACCTTTCATGCTCTGTCCAGGCAAAAGGTGTGCTGCGGAATCATCTACAAGGGCCGCTTCGGCGAGGTGCTCATCGACCCCCACCTGTTCAAACCGTGCTGCCGCAACAAACAGCGACAGCAGCAGCAGCAGCAGCAGCAGCAGCAGCAGGAGCAGGAGGAGGAGGAAGACGAGGAGGACGAGGACGACGAGGAGGAAGAGGTGGAGGTGGAGGAGGGCCAGGCGGGCGTGGAGAAATCCCAGACGGAAGCGGAAGTGAAGGAGACACCTGCGCGCGACGAGGACGCGGAGCCCGCTCAGCTGTGCGTCTCCACGACGACGCCCCCGACCCTGAGCGAGGCGGTGACGGAGGACGGCTGGTAAAGCAGACGCCTCCCTTGCACACATCTGTTGAAGAAAATCTTGGGGTGCTGGTTTGTTTTTTTTTTTTTTTATTTGGTCTCTCGAGCACTCACAGAAAGAAGTTGCCTCAGATTGCCTTCAATCATAAAGCAGCTGAAAATCCTTTGGTCTTCTCTATAATAACGTTGGAGGATTGTTTTATTATGTTTAAATGGTAACTTATGGACTGTTGTGTTTCCACTTTGTCTCTCTTTTTTTTTTCTTTTTTTGTATTTAATATTCTCGCCATCCTGACGATGGACCGTCATCTGTTGGTGTTATCGATCTACTTTAGATAAAAATGCTGGAGCTCTGGTTTTGCTGGTACATTTAACAGACTTTATTCCAAAACGCAATAGATCCACTTATTTGCAGAAAAAAAAAAAAAAGAAAAAAAAAAGGTGCTACTTGAAATCCATTACTCATTTTAACATTTCAAAAACAACATTTCTCAAAGTGTGGATATTTTATAAGCATATATGTTCAGATGACTAATATAATGCTGTCTTTGTGAAGAGCAGATATCTCTCTCTTTCTTTTTTTTTTTTGTTGAAATGGTGGATATCCCGTTTTGGAATGAATGACACTTTACACTGACGGAGCACAGACCTGTACAGTAGCCCTTGTGTTTTTTTTTTTTTCCTGTCTTGCTCACAATGACATCCGCTCCTATCAAAGAGTTTCTGTTCGTAGACTGGATTTAGCGTTTCTGTGTGCAAATGTGGGTCCCATTCAAATAAGGCCTATTCACAGCTTCAACAGCAAATACACCAGCCTTAATTATGTGTTACAGACAGTGCTAGTGTTAATTCTGGATTGGTATTAAGGAACAAAAAAAGAAAAGGGACAGTAGCTATATTTATTGTGGCCTCAGCAAACACACAGTGCATTTTTTTTGCATGAATGGCAAAGCCCACTCATCCAAAAGACCTAACGATCTGATGCATGAGTCTTCTGAAGAAAGAAAGAAAGAAAGAAAAAAAAAAATTTGCATGGCCTTATAGAAATTGTAAATCTTACTTTTATTTTTTGGATCCATTTCTCTGAAGTTTTAACTTATTTTTATATGTAAAGAAGAAAAAAAAACGGAAAAATAAAAGTGTCTTTCCATAATAATACCACACAATAACAGTAAAACACAAAAAAATCGGTCTATAGTCATTCAGCAATATCAATATCAGTGATTTCCTTCATTCCCGGGTCAGTATATGGTAAATGACTTTATACAAGCTGAAAATTCTATGCCATTGCCTCTTATATACCACAAATGTGTTGTGATATATAGCCTAATATTACTTTATTTATCAAATGAAAGCCAAAGCACATTGAAATTCACCCAATGTCAAATCAATGCAGGTTTTCTATGGACACTTGTGCTTGTCCGAGGTCATTTGTATGTATGTTTATGGTATTCTAAAAAAAAAAAAAAAAAAGAACACTAATATGAAAAAATTTTCATACATGTGATGTTGTAGTCGGGAGCAGAGGGTGTGTCGTGTACATAAAGGGTTGGGCGAGTCAGTACGGCTCTTATATAGGTTTCATTATTTATTTATTTTATATTTATTTGTATCACTGCATCCCTGCTTAGAGGTGTTTTTAAAAACTATGAATTCTTTCCACCGTTAGCTTCTGTGTAGTACGGTTTTTATTTCATCTTTTTTGTTTTTATTCAGAAAACGAATGTAATTCTCACGCAGGCTCCGTTTTAAAACATTGCGTTGAATTACCGGTTGTCAATATTTTGTGAAAATGTTGTTAAGTATTTATTTACTCATCGGTTGAGTTGCGTGCAACCTAACTTATTCTGTATCATCACTTTTTTGGATCCGAATCATGTAGACTGAAACGACTGATAGATTGCAACCAAACTGTGCTTCTCCCTTTTTACCTTGTAGCTTAAAGATGTTACAGATTTGTAGGTTACCATAGTAGGATACCTTACTGTAGACTTGCATGTACTGTCGCTATGCATTTACTTAGCTTACGAGTTAGACAAAGCGGTTTTGTATTTTTTATACATCATGTACTTTTTTTACTTGTCCCTTAATAAAAGTAATTTTGTGAGTTTTCTGGAAGCCTGGAGTCGGTACGTTTATTGGTGTAAAGCCAGAATGGAGGCTGTTCCAAATTAAAGGAGGAGAAAAGATGGGAAAGGGAAAGTTACCCACCTGATCCTGTACATCTTCCAAACATGACAGTATATGAAGTCATACATTCCACATTAACACCCCAAAAAAAGATGAGAAATATCTCAATTCAAATACACTAAGTCTAAAACTAACACTGACATTTTTGCTTTCATATCATGTTTCTCAAAAGAAAAAAAAGATAATCACTACATTTTAAAACAGGTAAGTGTTTGGTTTTGGCAGGTAACGCTTTTTTCATCTTTTGAGCAGGTTGGTTTTCAAATACTAACTGGAAGAATAAGTGACATGAGTTTTATTTCTCTAGAGATTCATACTGAAAATTAGGGCTGCAAGGTGCCTCGGTGGTTAACATCGTTGCCTCGCAGCAAGAAGGTCGCCTGTTCGCGTCCCGGTGAGGACACCCAGAATCTTTCTGTGTGGAGTCTCCATGTTCTCCCCGTGCAGCGTGGGTTCTCTCCAGCTTCTCCAGCTTCCTCCCACACAGTCCAAAAACATGTTGAGGTTAATTGGTGATTCTAAATTGTCCGTAGGTGTGAGTGTGAGTGTGCTTGGTTGTCTGTCTCTAAGTGTAGCCCTGTGATAGACTGGTGACCTGTCCAGGGTGTCCCCTGCCTTCACCCTGAGTCAGCTGGGATAGACTCCAGCACCCCGTGACCCTAGTGAGGATTAAGTGGTGTATAGATGATGGATGGATGGCTACTGAAAATGACACACATGACGACCACTTGTTCAAGTTAAGTAATTTATTATTGAAGTATTACCCATGCAGCGCAGTTAAAATACATTCAGTTTTGTACTATTATGTCTCTATCTTCTGGAGTATTACTTTATCATTGCAATGCTTTGTCTGGGCTCATTTTACTTCAGGCAAAAAATTTTGGACGATGCAATAAAAGGTGTGTGCTTCCTTGGGATGTTTCCAAAGGTATGACTAAATATTGTCAGATAAAACAGCCATTATTTTGGATAACATCTCAACAACATGCTTTTTTTTCTCCTCTTTTCCAGTCAGTCTGTAAGAATATGCATTTCAGTTTTCTTTTTCTTTTTTTTTTTCCCCCCTATTCTAGCCCTGATTTCTTAGTGGTCAGTGTTCTCCAAACTGTGGGTTGTAGGTGATAAAGCAGTTTATGGGAAATGTTTGAATATCTTCTTTAATCAACACCAACACTGCAGGACTGTAAACATCTGACCTTAACCTCTGCAGCTCCTGTTCGTCCCCCACTGCTAGATTCACATCTGTTCCAATGTCAGGTAGGAATAAAAATAACTCTCAGTCAAGTCATCAGTATACCGTGAAATCTACTAGAATGGTACACATGTAAAAGAACAAGGTGCTGCAACTACATATAGTGAAATGATTCTGTAATAAACTGAGCAAAGTGAAAAGCTAATCATGCATAACTTAATAGGCAACATAAATCAACATGGTAAAACTTTAACATTAAAATAAGCCCAAATTAATGTGTGTACACAATAAATAACGTTACATTATTATATAGGTGTATATGTTTTCTACTTTACTGATATTTACTTTTGATTTTGAACATTTCTGCATCTGAAAAACAACAACAATAAGCACTTTCATCTGTTAATGATATACGTTTTTAATTAGCACAGAAAAGAAAAAGAAAAGAAACTAACTGATGTGCACCTTTAATGTTGGTTTTCAATCAACCAATAACAAAAAGAAGAAAAGCAACCTGAACGGGGTCTCCAGATGCTGCAATGCAACTTAAAAAAGTAGAAATGTGGGAAGCGTTATTATGTATAAGGAGAGCAAAGCTCGTTAGTTGATCTGTACAATCAAAGCAGCTGACACCCTGCACAGGCCACGCTGCAGGCCTGCTGGAAGCACAGTGACACCCGTGTTAAAAGCTTTGGGTCGGTAGGAAATAGAACTACAGGAAGAGCAGGATTATGTAACGCACAGTTCAGTCCCGTGTTCAGTGATTCTGCCCTGGTTGTTTGTGATGATATCAATGGATTTATATACACAGCAACAAGTGAAGAAGAAGTCCAAACAGGCACCTGATGAGAGGATCGTACTAAATTACACTAAGCAGCAGTGTGTAGACAAGTTTGTGTTATTTATAAATGGCTAAAAAAGACCCTAAACCAGATGTACAGGAGCTGCAGTTTTCACCCCCAAAATGAGGCAGTTATTAAACAAAGAACCTCAGATCAGTATTTGCAACTGATCATACATCATCTACAAAGATTAGAACAACTAAGGTAATGCGCTAATTGCGTCTGAAAGCTGGTCAACACCCACAAGTATTAAATCAAGGAGATCATGTCAGAGAAAATCTTCCCTTTGAATTTTAAAAATATGGGTCAGATGGAGGCTTGGTTTAGAGGAGAGGCGTAGAGGGAAATGAGGTTATTGAAATACTGGCCAAACAATCAGTCAAATCACAAAAGTAAACATGAAAATTGTGCTGAGTAAAGCTGAGAGTAAATCAGTCCAAAAAAAAGAGAGAAAGATGCAAGAAGCACAGCAAGAAGACATAAATAACACAACTAGACACATTTATAACATCTACAAACTGGTGGGTTTAAGGGAAGGAGGCAGCGTAAGAACAGAAAAGAAGAAGGAGGATTACTGGTCATAGAATAGGACACATTAGACTTAAACTAGACTTCAAAAAAAATAGAAAATACCAAAGTGATAGATGTTCACACAGCATGTTCAGCATTAATATCACTATAGGGAACCTCCTTGGACATGGGGGATATACCGTCACCTAATTAAATACCTAAAGGGAACAGGATAAAATAAGAAATGTTAAAATTGTATTTATTTATTCACTAATCTGCTAAACTGCTGCTCCAGTCCGGTAGGTGGCGATAAAGCGCCTTTACGCTGGGTGTTCCAACTTCCGGTCAACCCAATAAAGAAGACGGACAAGCTGGTCATATGACAGGAAGTGAGAACAAATACGGAAGGGCTGTGTTATTGTTTTAGAGGCAGCTGTAGATGTAGTTTTAATCTGCTATTTAGAAAATCTAAAGTCGACAAACAACCCCTGTTGGACCTGAGGGAGGTAACGTCATTTTGTTGCTCCATTTGTTGTTTTAGCCTGCAAGCTAACGCGATAGTGAGTGGGTTTATAGCATGCTAACAGTGAAGTTGAGCTTAATAAAATGTCACAGAGGAAAAATGTTCATATCTGACGTTTACTGCCTCTGTTGAGGATTATATACGTTAAGAAATCTAACTAGTTAGTGCAAATATCGGCGCTGTCTGTGTCCATTGTTTCCATTGTTTAGCTTTAACCGACTGGCGTTGACCTTTGTGGCTCTTATGCTGCTCGCACTTTTGTAAATAAAGGTTTATTCCTGCAGGTCTCTCGTCCTGCTCGTCATCATGGTGGAGCCCACAGCATCTGGCGTGTTCTGTAACAGGATGCTGAGCATGGTCAACTCTGAGGACGTGAACGCCATCATCCAGGCTCAGAGACACATGTGAGTGACACGCTGTGATGTGGCTCTTCTGCTGCTTCATACTAGTAAATATGAACTGGATGGACTGCTGTGTGTAGGTCAGGTTATCTGTGATCCTCTCAGCTGTCTTATTCTTTATAGAACTGAAAATTCTATGAAGATCCCTGGTTGGATTACTAAAATATATTAAAATCTGGATGGATTTAAACTTTTTCAGTCTTAGTGAAAATAAGCCTGAGATTGTATAGTTTGATCACACACGTGCTTTAGTGCTTAGATTTTAGAAACTTTTAGGTCTCTGCTCAAGACTCACCTCTTCCCTCTAATATTCGATTCAAGTACTTGACACTCTGACTTCATCCCGCTTTCTGTTATATCTTTTGTTTTTAATCAGATTTATCTCTATTGCTATTTCAGTTGTGCAGCATTTTGGTCTAATTGTTGTTTTTAAACAGGCTTTATAAATAAATGTGACTTTGAAGGTCGCTGTCTCATTGCTTCGTTTTTGGGAAAACAGGCTCGACCGCTTTGAGAAAACCAACGAAATGCTGATCAACTTTAATGGACTGTCTAATGTGCGACTGCAGCAGATGAACGAACGCTTCCTACTCCACACTCGCACCCTTGTGGAGATGAAGAAGGATCTGGACAGTGTCTTCAGAAGGATCCGGTAAGCCACTACTCCCCCAGTGCAAACCCACATAAACACACACACACCCTCTGATTACTGGTCTCCTCTGCCTCTCCAGGACACTAAAAGGGAAGATCGCTAAGCAGTACCCAGAAGCTTTCAGCAGTGAGTTTGTTTTCATTACCAACATGAACTTCTCAATATCAGCTTATCTAGACAACATTTCTAAAACATCATTTTTTTCCTGACAGATATCCACGAGTCACCAATCCTGGAGGATGACGATGATGAGTTTGACCCTGTTCCCCCAAGTGTTGCCACAACAACTACAACAGCCACGTCTGAGCAGAGCACAGAGTCGTGTGACACGAGTCCAGATGTGGTCTCACCCACCGTGAGCAGATGCTCTGAAGATCTCTCTCAAGAGCCGCCCGACACGCCAACCTCTGACGTCCTAGAGACAGCCGTCCTTCGGGACGAGGGTCCCGACTCTGTGCCTGCAGAATAGAGTGGACAGTTTGTGAACTGATTTCTGTCACTTGAAATTGAGCTTCTAGCCTAAAGCGAGGTCATGTTGTGTATTTGAGTGTGTGTTGGCCTCTGTAATGTTTGCAGACTGTTTTCGGTCACTAATGTGTTTGTTTGAGATCACAACGTTGGTGTCGCTGGATTTTGTTGGAATGCTTATGTGTCCTCTGCCTGCACAGCACTAAATCAACACAGAAAATACTTGAAGTTGTATAGTATTTCACTATAGATACATGTATTGTGCTGACGAAACCTGAGCAAAAGCCCTCTCTAGCTATGTATTTTAAACGTATTTATTTTTGTTTGAAAAGATGCTCACCTGAAGATTGAGGAAAGAAGTTTCTCACAATGTCGAAGAATAAAAGGCACGAAAGTAGGCGTTGTCAACATGAATACTAGTAGTTAGGGTGTGCAGATATTTTATACTGCTACATACTGTACAGTGTTGTTAATCTGTTGGTTCCTGTTAGTCACCAGATGTCGAGGCTGTTCCATACAAAGATCCAAACATCATCCAAACATCATCTGCTACCACAGTATGACTTCCTACATGATCGTGGACACATTTTAAGAATCACAACTGTAAATGTTACATCAAAACAGGTTTTATTTGAATGTAATATCTGGATCAAATAAGTCCTCAGAAATCCACTGACCAGATTGCCATGTGTTGATATTGTTCATGTTTAAATGATTTTGGCTATATGGAGAAAGATGTGTTTGCTTGAAGTTCCAGCTAATTGAGAAAATGTAGTTGTGTTTTGAAAAGTGTTTCTGGCTCAAGCATATGAACAACATCTTTGACGAATGGTGTCCTTTCAATAAAACAACAGCCCTGTTATTTGATAGACCAAAGTTTTTGTGGTCTGTAAATTCAATAATAAATGTAAGATAGATGCAAAGACAAAGATACTGAATTGTAAAACAATACTAAAGGAAATTAACAAAAAAAAATGTAGGTAAGGTACATGTAAGGTTGAAACAGCTATGGGGCTATGGGGGTGGAATTTATAAAATAAGGCCACCGATAGCAAAGTCTCAGAGTTAAAAATAAATCCAGTCATTTTAAACACTGTGGGAATGGTATAAACATGAACTATGAGGTTGTCATAATTCAAAAACAAGATGACACATTCAGGATATCTTCTCCTCCATCTCTCTTTTTTCTGTCTCCACCTCCTCATTTAGCTTCTCCAGAGCATTGAGCTGAGTCCTCCAGTGTTCTTGTCTCTGCTGGTGTTCAGTCTCTTTAGCCAGCATCTGGTCCTTGATGCTGGAGACCGTCACACACAGGGAGACATTGACATGTCTCAGCCTCTGGATTTCTTCATCGTTCTTTAGGTCCTGGTGCTGCTTCTCCTCCCTCAGCCTCACCAGTCTGTGCTCCATCACAGTCTCGCTCAGAGCCAGTGTTTGATTGTCCTGCAGCAGCTCTTTGCTTTTTGTCTGCAGACTGTAATTCTGCTCGTCCAGTTTGTTTATTTGCTCCTGGAGTCTTTGGTTTGTCTGACCTGTCCTCATTTATCAGCAACCCTTTCTCAGCCTTCTCCAGACTGAGCTTCTCCTCCTTTTGCAACATATTTTCATCTTGCGGCTTTTTCTTCTGCTGTCAATCTTATATTTTGTTCCTCAAGCTGTTGTTTTCGGACTTTGCCATTTTCTTTCAGCAGCTCAGAGAGTCTCAGGATCTCACTCTCCTTCTCCCTGAGCTGCTCCCTCAGCTCGTCTTGAAGAGGCGTCTTACTTCAGCTGGACAGTCTGGCTTTTTCCTGCCTCCAGCTCTTTGCATTTCTTCTGGCTTTTTTCCAGAAGTGCCTCCAGCTGGCTGATGAGGTAGCTGGCAGCCTCGGCCTGCTGAAGGAAGCGCCTCTTTTCTCTGAGGAGCTCTTCGATCCGGCAGATTGAGGCGTCCAGAGATTGCTGCATCCCAGAGAGGTCGGAAGGTAAGTTTTTTCGAGCAGCGCGTTGAGGGGGGTTCGTAAATCCTCCTCGGCCTCTGCTTGTGTTGCTTCTCTGAGACATCTTGCTGAGATGATCAACAGAAACAAAGCAGTTGATGATTGTTAAGATAAGACAAAATAAGATGACGATAACCCTTTGTTGATCCCACAGTGGGGGAATTTGCAGTGTTACAGCAGCAAAGATAACGCAAACATTTAAGGAATGTAGTACAAAAATAAAATAACCCAAAATATGCACAAGTACTAGTTCTTGAACATTACATTATTGCACATATCAGTGATATTGCACTGATTTTTTGATGAATACAAATCCTGAGAGATAAGATAAAAACACAATTAATCTCAAAGAAAACTCTTACAGCTTACTGGTGGTTAGCAAAGATGATGTTCTTTGGTTCTTGGTCGTTGTGTGTTGGTTGTCTTGTCCTAAACTGTGGATCTGTAGACAGTGATGCCAGTTTCTCTGGGTGGTCCCATGTGATATTAGGGTCCGAGCACTCCGGTGCAAGGACCCTATTGAAACCCTTGTGATTATTAG